GTGTCCGCCACAGGAGGCCATGGCCAGGGACAGGCGAGGAGGCACCGAAAGGAGGGAACACAGGGGACCCTGGTGACAGCTTCTACTGTAAGACTGAGCCGGTGGAGGAATGCACACACAGCCCCCCAAACCCAGCTTGGGGTCCTGGGGCTTTCATCCCCTCAGTGGGCGAAGCCCTGCCACGCCCTTGGAAATGGACAGTAAGAGGTCTCCAGGGCCCGCCTGGATCTGACACCTGCGAAAGGGGCAGGTGAGGGGGGACAGAGCTCAGAGCCTCGCCTGGCCTCTCCTGTCGTTGCCACCGCAGCTGTGATTATGGGCACTCTGGTGGCAGGCGGGCTGTGAGGGGGCCGTCCCTGGGCCTCCCCCAGCCCAGAGTCATCCAAGTTCAGCCTCTCCAACAGGACAGCTGAGAATGTGGACTATTTATACCGGCTGCGGTGGACCGGCGGCTGGAGAGGCAAGCAGCCCGGCCGCCATATGTGGGCGTGACCAAGAGCACGCAGGCCTGCCAGGGGACAAAGGCCCAAACCACGCATCTGGCTTGGGTGTCCTTCAACTTCACCAAGTCCCAACTGACACACACCCCCCCATCCCCAAGGACAGGTTCTGGGGCAGCTGCCTTCTCTCCTCCCTGCTGTTTAAAAATACTCTGGGCCACTGTCCCTCTCGCCCCTCAACTGCCCTCCACGCACGGGTACACTTGTGCGCACACACGCACTCTGACCCCAGCGTTGTCATTGGCTCCGCCTCGCTGACCCCATGGTGGGGGACCCACACTCTCAACCAGCAGATCCTTTGGGTATCTGCCCTCTGGATGGGACGAGCCTGTGACCTTTCCACTCAGCACTTGTGCAGTGGGGCCTTCTTTCCTTTGTTGTCTCTCTGGGCTGGACACGGGGGCCTGGGCGGAGACTCTGTGCCGTGTCCCTGGCCCTCACTGTCATAAGCACCCAGTCGAACCCCCTTCCCCTTAGGGCAGGAAGCAGATCTGGCCTGAGACTCAGTAGGGCATCTGAGAACTGGGGTGGGTGGGCCTGAGTTGCAAGCGCCCCAGGGAGAAGACGCCTCTGCAGTGCCCGCCTTGCTGACCCGCCGCCCTGAGTCTCTACCTAAGGAGCAGCTGCCGGGCTGTCCGAGGTGGCCCTCTTGTCTTGTCCCTGCCCTTGAGATGCGCAGCCCTGCATGCGGCCTGCGGCTGCGCCTGCACTGCAGGGCCCCAGGCAGCAGCCTGCAGCAGCCTGCACTGCTCCACCACCCACTGCAGCCCCCCTCCCCTTCCCTGCTCCCCGCTGGGTGGCACGGCCTTCCCAGGGCCGGAGCCAGCCTGCAACTCTGAGCACTAAAGGCAGTCCCCATTGGGACACAGTCCAGGGGCAGCCCTAAGCTCCGGCCAACCAGGTCCGGGGCCTTGCAGGGCAGCTGAGAGGCCCAGAGCAGGACACAGCTGGGAGCCGACAGGAGCTTCTGGGAGCTGCTGACGCAGTGCTGCGGGTCCCTTCCCTTCCCAAAAGCCATGCCTGCCTCTTCCCACCCAGGAGGCTGGCTGCTGGTGGGCCAGGGACCCTCAGAAAGCCATGTGTTCCCATCCTGGAACCTCCAGGCCGCACTGTCCCCAGGCCTGGCCACCCCAGAGGAGCAGGGCAGGGCAAAGACAGGCACAGAGGCCCCCTCAGCTCTGGACACGCCAGGCTGAGTCAGCACAAAGCTCCCACAGACTGAGGACCAGGTGGCCCCTTATGCTAAAGTGGCTCCAATTAATGCAACTCCACTGGCCCCGCCTACTCCCCCGCCCCTGCCCAGCAAACCCCTCCACGCCATCCTCCCTGCCACGCCCTGGCCCCTAAAGATTACTCAGGTTCCCTCGTTTTTCATTTAGGGCATTTGGGGGCAGGGATATTTGCAGTTCAAGCAATGTTCCCCCTGATTGGGCTGTGGTGGCTGAAACATCTGTCCTGCAGGTCAATCTAATCACGCCCGAGAGTTTGTTCTTCAATACATTTTTCACGCGAGGTGGACAGTTTTAAAAGATCACAAATGCCCCCTTACAATGCTCCCACCAGGCCTCCCCTCTTTGAAACCCTTGTACGATAAAATGCTCTCTTGGACGCAAATGCACCACCAAACCGCGGTCCCAGGCACCCCTCTTCAGAAGTGGGGGCCACACTGTACTTGACCATGGAGATAAAAGACGACGCGACATTGACACAGACAGCCTCACACAGCGCGTGCGATGGCTGCCCCTCAATCCCGACGCGGAGCTGGTCTCCCTCGAGCGTGCAAGTTTCATTTGGAGCGTGGCTAAATTCTGTGAGCCGCAACACAGAATTTTAACTAACTTGGCGCACTGAAATTATGAGCTCCACCATTCTCAGCGCTGCCGTTTCCACCAGCGGAACCTGGGCCTGTCATCAGGCTACGAGAGGGAAACGTTCTGGACTATTCCACCCAGCAGCCTCCCCGCTCCCGGAGCTCAGAGAGTGAGGCACTTGCCACCTCGCCCAACCACAGACACAAAACCCACCTGGGTCCCCAGGTTGGCAGGCAAGCCCCACCCGGCCACACCCCAGGCCCTTTCCTCAGCATGTCCCTGAGCCCCGTGGCAGGCGACTCTGTCTCCCTGTCATGCAGTCCTGGGAAAGCCCACCTCTCCCCTCCTCCACAGGGAAAGGCCCAAACACCCCACGCTTGCCTGGGGCCCCCAGCTCCTCTCTCTGGAAAGCCAGAGTTGGAGATTTGAGCACAGCAGCCTCCAGGCCCAGTCAGTGTCACCAGGAAGCAACAGGCCCCAGGGCCTGAGGGGCACTGCCAGGGAAGGGGCTCTGGCTTCCACAAGGAGGCATCTGAGAGGTGCCTGCTTTGAATTCGGCAGATGGAGAGACCAAGGTGAACAGCTGAGGCGGCCATGGCTTTCTCCCTGACACGCGTCTCACTGCTCTGTCAAACCGCACTCCGAAACACTAGGCTTTTATTTAAACACCACATCCTCCACTAAAGCCCTAATGTGCGGTGGGGCACATCCCGGGGAAGGGCAGCTGTCTGCGGCCGGCCTTGGTGGCTGCACACTCGACTACTTTCCTCCCTGTGGCCGGAGCTGGAAGCTAGCGGCGCAGAGACGACCTTCCCAGGGACACTAGGCACTGACCTCTCCAGGCCCGGTGGCCGGAAGGAAGGCCGTGCCCAAGGACAGTCCTACCTCACCGTGCCGATGGCAGCGGAGCCAGAGGTGGGGAGGCTTGAAAATCGGAAGGGGCCCAGGCTGCCGAGCCCTTCTCAACCTCCCTGGGCAGAGAGAGCCGAGTGCCAGCTTGGAACTGCCTTTCTGTCCTTGTCCCTGGCTCCTTGGCAGGGCCTCAGAGGTTCAGGGGACCTGACTAACCCAGACCTAATGCCTCCAGCAGCTGGAGGAGGGGGCCAGGTGCTCCTCCCCCAACTGAGAGGCGGAATTCCTGCCAAAGGCCAGGGTGTGGGAGGAGCTGGGGCACCTGCTGTGAGCCCAGGCAGCACTATCAGGGACACAGGAAACGCAGAGATGGCGTACATATTGGAAAAATAGCCCTGAGCCCACGGGGGACGTGCCCTGGGCCGTAGACGTCCCCACTCCGACAGCTGGGCAGGATCGCCCCTCCCACCACGGCCCAACCCCTGCCCGCTGCCCCTGCAACCCTATGCCCTTTGCTCCCACAGAAGGACCAGCACAGCAGAGACTGGCTACCCAGACCAGACACAGCGTCCACACTCAACTCCTGGGCAGTACGGCCCAGCCGCGGGACGTACAGGATGTCACCCAAGCTCTTTACTAACTGGGGCCCTGGCAGCAAGGCAGGCAGAGGGGCCAGGGACACACACGTCTGCACTAAGCAGGCTAGCGAGACCGCCATGTCCTTGACCCTGAAAAGCGCTTCAAGCTGACTCGGTAAAAACAGAGAATTATAGCGCTGGGGCTTTGGCTGGGGTGGGGGTGGGGTGCAGGAAGAGGTGAGGGGTCACCAGGACGGGCTCCAGCTCAGGCTCAGATCTTCGCTTCTTGTCCTCATCACCAGGGCACCCGAAGTGCCCTCAGATACTGGGTTCCAGGATTTCAGAGGAGGGGAGGGGCCTGGGGCTACAGGTGCCCGTGACCTTGCATGGGGGCTGCTGCCCTCGCCCGGACGCCCCGGGAGGCCGAGCATGTCGCAAGCCAAGGAATGTCTTTCCCTCAAGACTCCTCTTACACGAGGCTGCGGGGGTCATCCGGCTCCCCTCCCCGTCCAGCTGGCCCGTCCATTTGGAAACAGGCTGCTTTTCTGTGCCTATGAGCAGTTTTCTGCCCCAGTCACACAAACAGCTTGTTCTGCTGGCAAATGACCCCTTTTAGGGTGTCAAGAAGTGATAGCCCCAGATCCACGCCACCCCATGTGCCCAAGCCAAGGCGCCCACACTCAGTCCCCAGCCCCTCGCGCCCCCACGCGGACCCTGCCTGCCACAGGGCTGCCTTCCCTCTGCCGCAGTCAGCACGTTGAATATTTAATGTCTGATGAACGCTTCCACCTGCTGACACAGGCAAAGTGACAGAACAATACAGGCAGGGGACAGGGCCGCCACCAGCGCCCAGGCAGCCTGCCACCCAGGCCTCCCTGCCACAGCCACTGTCTGCCCGTCTGTCCCCTTGGGAGGCCCCTCGGGCGTGGACTGCCCCCTTACTCCGGCGACAAAGTCCCCGACCTGAAATACATACTTCTTTACATTCCATAGCTTAGCAGGTCATATGGGCATATAAAGAAGTATGTCTCCCAGGCAGGTAGTTCAGTGTGCGCTGTGGGTGCCGCCGGGCCCCGCCTGGGGGTGGACAAGGCGGCACAGGGGCCCTGGGGTTGTCGCCTGTCCACACCCTGGACCTCTCCCTGTGCTCTCCCACTCTGATCATCGCAGGGACGCCGCGGCCCCTGCCCCCTCCAACCTCAGCTTCCCTCACACACACATCGCAGAGTCGGGGAGGCAGAAGCAGACCACGCACCCCAGAAAATCTCAAGAATCCCTTTAATCACCCCAACATTCGCGTAGTTTTGCATCAGTGGAACAAGAAAGGAACCAGGCTGCCACCTTCCACCCTCGCCGCAGAGAAAGGATGTGCCATTCCCCACACAGTGCCGAGACGTAGCCAGCACCCTCCGTCTCTATCTGGGTGCTTTTGTCCCTGCCAAGTGCACAGGGAGGGCCCTCCCCCTTAGCAGTCCGGGAGCAAGGCAGCTAGAACCAGCAAGAAGCACCCCTCGCCGCAGGCCCAGACTGGGGAGACAGCACCAGGAGACCCGAGGAAGGGACAGGCCTTACCTGGGCAGCTGGGTGACTCCCGGGCAGGTCCCTGGTGATGTGCATCCAGGAACTGGCACCCAAGGGGGGGCTCGGTGCCTCTGTCTTTAAAGAAGTGCGTGAGAAGGGCACTTGCAGGCGGACCCCAAGTCCCAGGGCGGTAGGAGCTGCTGGGAGGTGGCCCATGCCTCAGCCTGGCCACAGAGCAGACACCCGTATGGCGAGGGACTGGGGCTGGCCCCTGCCCCCCCCCCACGCCTCCTCCTCCTCCTCTCCTTCTCCACTCCTGGCGTCACCACCTCTGCGGAGGCCCCTGAAACGATGCTTGCGCAAGCAGGCAGCTCACACGGGCACCCAGGGCGGCCGGTCCCCACCTGGCTCTTTGTGGCCTCCGCCCGGTCTCCGCCAGGCCTGATCAATACCAATTTACAGGCAAACGCAGGGGCCGCCTTCCTGTTAATGAATTTCCCCTGTGCTCACTGGCGTCTAATAAACCCGTTAAAGAGGGTTTAAGTAAACTGAGCAAGCGGCAAACTAAGCACTTTTGAGTACTTAACTGTGTCGATATTCCCTCCACTGCATTTCCAAACTTCCCTGTGATGGACAAGTAGCGGCCCCTCTCCCCCACCAACTTCTCTAGCCACCCCGAAGCCGGGAGTTTGAAAACAATGGACAGTTGGTCCCCACCACAGGAAGGAAGAAGAGAGGAACCCACGGGGCGTCAGGAGCAGCATGGGACGGAGGCCTCGCCATGGCCCAGGGCAGGCCTGCAGGTGAGGCCGGGACTTGGAAGGAGGCTGTCACTCAGGGAGGTCGCCTGTAGAGGAAAGGGCAGGGAGACGCTGGCGGCTGGGGGAGCTCGGTGCAGACACAGAGGGTCCTAGGGTGGCTGGGAACTGACCCCGGCCTGGGGACAAGGCCCTGGCCTGAACGCACTTCCAGTGTCCCTTCTGCCAGCAAGGCAAGGTCCAAGTGACCTGCCCGCCCCTCCCTACCCACCCCTGCCCAGCGAAGGTGTCTGCATGCTGCTGTCACCTGGGCAGGGCAGTGTCTCTGCAGAGCCTGCGTTGTGCAGAGGCAGCTAAGCGATTCCTAAAGTCCCCAGTCTGTGGCAGCTGCACCGGGCATGGCTGGGCTGGAGTTTAATGTCGGGGTGCATGATCAGGGCTCTGAGAGGCACCCCACTAATGGGAAGAGCCACTCAGCAAAGATACGGAGGAGCAGTGTCCCACTTCCGCGTGGCTACTGTCATTCATTATCTTCGTGTCACCAAGGATAACAAAGGGCCACTGACACAGCCGCCAGGGCCCCACGTCTCCTCTCCCCTGGAATGTGCCCTCCAGAGAACCTCGCAAGATAGCGGGAGTCTGAGATCTAAATTTGCCAGGCCATCCTCTGACAGATGAGACCTCAGAAGCTGGGCGACCTGCCACTGCTCAGGCCTGGGACCCACCCTCACCCTTGCCTCCCAGGTGCCCATAGGGACGGTGTCTGGAGGTCAGCGGAAAGCTGGGGGCCTCGAAGGGCAGGAGAGTCGCCCCAGGTCCAGCAAGAGCCCTCGTGAGCTCCCGTCTGCTCACAAATGAACCACAGCTACTTTGCAAAAGTTTCCCTTCTTGGTAAGAAAAGAAGCACCGAGACACCTCCGAGGGGCCACGAGGGACAGTGAGCTGGCACCATGCCCTGGGCTTCCTCCAGCAGCTTCCGCTGTGCACACCCCCGGCCCCCCAGGACCCCGCCGGTGGAGGTCACCCTCCCCTCCAAGGACCACTGGGCCGCTCCCCCCGCCTCAGGCCCCCAGTCTCCACCCACACGCGCCGGCTGTGCACGCCCAGCACCGGGACCCTTCCGACCCTGACGGGGGAGCCCCGCGTCCCGCCCGCCTCCGGACCCCTGCCCGGCATCGCCGCGGTCAGGGCTGCAAGTTCCGAGGTAAGTTTCGCCCCGCTCCCGCCTGGGCGTGGCTTTGTGGCCCCGGGCAGGTTCACCTCGCCGTCCCTCGGCCCCCGCGCCCCCACCTCGGCGCCACGACCCCGGCCCCGCGGCGTCAGGAGGCGGCTGCGTCCTCGCAAGATGCCCGCGTGTCAAAGTTCGCGCATCCCAGTTGGACGCGCCCTCCCGGCCCTGCTGGCTGCTGGCTCTGCAGTTTTGCAAATGCGGACGATGCGGCCGCCGGGAGAGAACTCCGGGCACCCGCGCCGGAGCCACGCGGCCGGCACCGCGGCTCCCACCGCGCCGGGCACACCCCCCACCGCGGCGCCGGCAAGTTTGCGGGGGCGGCGGGGCGGGCCGAGCGGGACTCACCGCGGAGCCCCTCCAGCCGGGCTGGCGACGGCGGCTGCGGGCGCAGGGTCGCGGCTCTCGGGTGCGGTGCGCCCCGCGCGGCTCTCCGGCAGCCGCTGCAGCCGCGGCAGCGCCATCCACCTTCTCCCGGAGCCAATCGCGAATGCAGGGGTGGGGGAGGCCGGAGCGCCCGGCGCGTCCGCACTTGGGGGTGGGGGAGGCAGAGAGAAAGAAGACACCGGCACCCCCTCTGCGCACCCCGGCCCTTCCCCCAGCCCTCCTGCAGCAGCGCAGACTTAGCAGGGAGGGGGACCTTGAGGGAGAGGGAGAGGAAGCACGAGAGGCGCAGGAGTGGCGGGCGGGCGGCCGGCGGGCGGGCGCGCCGCAGAGTTCGGCAGAAGCGGCCGCGCGGCCCGCGCACCTTGAGCCCCTCCCGGCCCCGGGCCGCGTCTGCAGGGCGCCCCTGCACCCCAGCCGGGGTCGGCGCGAGGCAGAGGTCGGGCCGGAACAAAGGGGGCCGGCCGCGGCGTGCAGGCTCGCACTTGCACGGCAGCGGGGGAGGGGAGGGCGCGGAGGGCTGACCCGAGGCCCGGAGCGGGTGTGGGGGCCCCCTGAGCATCGGGAACCCGCCTCACCTTTGCAGTCCTTATATACCCGGCCAAGCATCCCAAACACGCAGCCGGCCAAGTGGCCCCCTCGGGCTGTGCTCCCTGACCATATTTAGTCAAGCAGGGAAAAAATAGCCTGTCAGCTGGGCCGAGGCTGGCCGGCCACCGGGAACAGGGTGGGTGCGCCAGCGCCATTGACGGCCGGTCCTGGGCCCGAGGCTGCCATCTGATGCCCCCTCCCGGCCCCTCCCCAGGAGCCTCCCACCGGCTGTCCCTGCCCTGCCATCGCCCTGCTATTTTTAGCCCAGCCCAGTACAGAGGCCCTCTCAGCGGGCGGCAGGCGGGCACAGCCTCCCAGGCCACGCAGCCTGTTCCCAGGGGTGCCCTGGGGAGACCCAGGTGACTCCCAGGGCATGGGTTGGGCAGGGGAGCCTGTGTCTCCTCCTGGCTCTTGTCCTCCAGTGGGCTGGGCCCTACCCAGGCCATCTAGGGCCCCACCCAGTACCCCCGGGCCTTGCCCTTTTGCCCAGAATTGGGGCCCGGATCAAGTGTTGACGGAGCCACCCGGGTCTCCGGAAGCTCCCAAGCCAGCCCTGAGTAATGACGCCCGCAGGTCACCTTGGACAGGGAGCCAGGCCAACGAGCTGCCAGACTCCATCCAGAGCTGCAACCAGGGGCATGTGCGAGTGGGACACCCCATGTCCACGCACTGGTCATTCTTGGAGCACCCCCATCCTGGGTTCACGCCTAAATGATGCAATGGGCGTGTCCTCGCAGGGCCAACTGCCCCGACAACTGTGTGGGCTGGGCAGGTCTCCTTGCCTCTGAGGTCCCCCAGGACACAGGACAGGGGGCCGCAATAGCAGGGCAGACCCACTTCCCAGAAGGCTGGGTGCAGGGCCCGCATGGGGGGGCAGGCAGTTAGCGTCACTGCTCGTCCTGACCAGAGTGCAGGCAGTCAGAGGCCCTATTGTTCTGGAAAGCAACTTCAGAAACCTCCCCACCTCCTGTGCCTTGCAGGCCTGGCCCAGCTGGGCACATGGGGAAAGGCTGCCTGTGCCTCTCACACACCGCTGTGCCTGACCCCTCCGTGACACCCCAGGTCAGGCCCCAGCACCACAAGGTGCCAGCCTTGGGACACAAGGTGCGGTGGGGACGTTTTCCGTGGCGCACCCCGGGATCCAGCCCACTCCCCACGCCAGGCCCAGGAGAGCAAGGAGAGCAGTGGGGGCTCAGGTGCTTTCTGGAGAAGGCCCTGGAACCCAAGTGTGGCTGGGAGGCAGTGGGGAAGGGGGGAGGGCAAGCGGACAAGGTGGGCCTGCACCCTGGGAACCCTCTGAATGGCTGAGATGGGAGCCTAGTGTGGGGGCCCTCGCTTGGCTCACCCCAAAGGAGGTGGGAACCCTGAGACATTTCTTTTTTTTTTTTTTTTTTAAAGATTTTTATTGGGGGAATTGGGGGAATGGGAACAGTGCTGGGGAATTGGGGGGAGGGGAACAGACAAGTTGCTGTCATCTTGTTCTTCAATCTAGTTGTGGAGGACGTTGCTTCACTGGCCCAAGTTGGCACCATCATTGCGCTCTTCTCTGGCGAGGCAG